GTTGTCACTTAATATTATGATAAACTTACCGGCATTCGACTTTCTAACTTGTGCATTTTCTTTTTTTCTTTTTCTTTTTTCTTTTTGTTTGTTTCATCTTACCTTTATACATAATGATGGACGGAAGAATCATTCATTATCCTAATGAGGGCATAAGTTACTATCCAATAACTAAATCCTTGGTCTTTAACATATATAGATTGATGATCTTATAAGTGTAAATCACACTTTATTTCTGTCTTCATCAAGATGCAATACGTAGGATCTCAACGTTAGTTTAAAAAAAATGTATATTGTGAGGAGTTTAGAGTTCCTAAAAGTCTCCCCAAGAGAAAGAAATGAGTTGCTTTAACAACCTCTAAATTAAAATGCAGATAATGAGCCGTGTTGCTCTAGCAATTAAAAGACTTGAGGTAAGTTGATCAATCTATAGTATTATACTAAGAGAGAAACCAGAGAGAGAAATTCAAATTTCTCCTCACGTTGACACGTAGGACAAAATCCTATTTTTCATTTTCTTATAGGTTGACAGAAAAATATTTACAACAATTACACTAACAATCCTTTGAATTTTCAGTAAATTAAGTATTATCAAATCGCAATTAATTCTACCAATCAATTGGGTGGTAAACTTTCTATTTTGTATTTGGTCCAGCAAAAAAACCGGTACATTTTTTAAAAAGTCAACATTAATAGTTTCTTTCCATGTGGTGTTATAAAAAAAAAGTAAATTTTGATTTGATTCATTTATAATTTAATGCTAATTGATTTGAATAAATTTCCCAATTGGCTTGAATAAAGCTCCAATATAATACTTTGTATTCACACAAAAACATGAAAGTAATGCCATTATGTATTAATTTGATCAATAATTAATGTTAATATCTTTTGAAATTTGAAAATAATTAATAGAATATCATAACTGATTCTTTTAGCCTTTAATTAGGGGTATAAATGATTCCCTAAAATTAATGTGTGGTCCATTAATTATCAAATCCCAAACATTAGCAAATCCCATAATTGAGGCTAATATAGGATGATATGATCAATAATGGAAAATCAGTCTATGAAAATATTATATAGCTTTCTCCTATCCCCTAATCCCCTAATAGCTTCTGCATTTTCCCCCCTTTTTCTGATTATGATTGAAAATAAGATTGCCTTTGGTTGTTGTATTTCTTTTCAGGTCCAAGAACAAGAATATACATTAATAACTCCACTCCAATGGCAGTGAGTACTGGAGAATCCCATTCACGTTCTCAACATGTGGAGGGCTTGCATATGATCCTTGATGCACTGTATTTGTGGGCTAAGGTTGCGTCCGCTGAAGCTTTGTCAATTGATAAGGCTAAGCAAAATATTTCTTGAGAACATATCTATTTATTTATATTTTCAACAATTTAATGATGGATGTTTATTAATACTATTTTCAGTGGCACAAGATCCATGTTTTTGTTTCCAAAAAACTAATGTGAAAGTTTCAAATACGACGGAAGAAGGCAGAACCAAACTCCTCTCCTGTTCAAAATTGTTAAGATAAGAATTCTGAATTGGGTAGGAGAAATAGAAGGGAAAAAAGAAAGAAAGAATGATGAGAAAAGTATTAGAAACTGTTGACAAAATGATGAGAATATTGGCAATCGAAAGTAAAGAAAGAACGTACTCAAAATTGTTGACAAAAAGTATTAGTGGAAAAAAAATAAATAAATCAACACCATCATTAGAGACCATTTATTTTTTCTTTGTTTTTTTTAAGTAGAGCTAAAATTACTTTTTCTTTAAGATTTACATTTTCTGTGTATATGGATATTGGAATCTAAAAATGTCTCGTAATAAGTGAATTTGTTCCACGTCAAAAAGGTTCTCCAATAATACTCGTTTCATTTTTCAAAATGCAAACAAATATTGTATGCCTTGCATTTTTGTAAATGTATTTATTAAGTAGTCTTTTTCATATACTTATTTTTTCATATTCTAATTATTCTAAAAATTGTATTAAAAACATTTTACTTACCCCGCACATCATGCGGGTTTAACATCTAGTATATATATATATATATATATTATCTTATAAGGAAATGAGAATGGGATTGATTGCCTACAATATTCTCCACTTCAAAGTCAATATTTGGTCCTTAATTAGCAGTAACTGAACAGGATCAAATGTAGAGAGTCTAACAATTTTTATGTATGAATTGAATGTTATTAGTGCTCGCTCCATAACAAATAATTGACATACCCCGAAAGCATTTTTTGTTCATTAACTCCATTCATTCTTGATGATGAAGCGTTCAATTGATTTGGTCCGAATTTCAGCTCCTCGTTTGAGACTGTAATAACTATATACGATTAATTAACCCATCAACCACTCCCCGCAAATTATATTGAGCACCCGGTGCGATACTCGAAACATTGGGCTAGTGAGCCCAAAACCATGCCAGAATGTATTCATTAGTTCGCCAACAATGTAACATTTTGTTGCGGTAAGTACAATTCTATTTTTTTAAACAATTATGGCTACAACTTGGATGACAAAATATTCAGAACAAAATGACGCTAGCAGATTTGACTTACTAATGATTTATTTCTACTTTCGATAATTGAAAAAAAAAGAGGGAAAATGAAGAAGAAGCAAATTTTCTTCCTCCATGGTTTAGTTAATTTTCTTACCGATATCTTAGCTAGTTTTCTTTTTTTTTAGTTCGAGGTTAAAAAGTTTCATATATATAATTTAGAAAACGTCCAACTGTGATCGACAAAAAGTCACAAAAATATGCGACTAACAGGTACATAAACATTGGACCGAGATATTTCATCTTCCGTCGAACAACTATGAAATGGCTTCAGTCAATTTGAAATCATGTAGTAGTAGATGATAGAACAACTTTTTTTTTTTTGTTCCCCTCTACTATTTCCAGTTTTTTCTTATTTTATAATCTTTCTTGGAACCATAAATTTCACTTAATTCCTGATGCTTCGAAAAACCTTTTCTCAAGACCTGAAAAAATGTATGCACAAAGTTTGATTTCTAATTTCTACTATGTTTTTTAATATGGCTTTGTGATGTTACTATCAAATTCTCTTTAATCGATCAGGATAGAGAAAAAGAAAAAATAGAAAAATGAAACAGACCCTGAATCCATTCCCAGTTTTCTGACCCACCAAATTTTTATTATTACCAATACATTTGTACCTTTTTTTATATTTATTTTATTTTATTAACAAAATTATTTTCCTTGGGTCCTGTTGTATTTATTAATAAGTGAAACAAAAAAAGGGGCTTCTCAATGCCAAAACTGGTCACACACACACACACAATTCTCAGAGCACTCAAATTTCGTGACCAAATTAATGCAAGCTTTGAACATTCACCATCATTCCAGAGCTTTGGTATAAGAGATGATACTATATGGTTTTTTATATATATATATATATATATTTTGGGGGGTAGAATTGTTCCATTCCATATCGTACCAAATTTTAAATACCCTTTGCATTTATGATTGCCTGCACTTCAATCTCGATGGATATATACTTTTGTCTTTCTTTCAGGTTTTCAGTTAAATTAGACTAGTCAAACTTCAAGATCAAGGTTTAGGAGTAGTTGAATTGATCTTTGCTAGTTGTAACTACACTCGAATTCATCAAGTTATCTTGGTTGAACCTTACAAACATAACAAGGTTTTCTTCAGAATCGCATTAAGAATGTAAGATGTTGCATTTGTGTCGTTAGTGATACTCAAATTCTCAGAGTCTTTGAGATAAACATACGTCTTCAGTCGTTACTTATTCAAGGAATAGCCTTATCACATTTTTATGCATTCTCAAATACTTCCTCCGTCCCAAAATTATTGTCAAGTTTGAAATTTCACTTTTAATATAATTTGAACTACAAATAAAAACTCAAACTGGACAATAATTATGGGACGAAGGGAGTATATTTTTTGAATCTTAAGATGTACCGATGGATGCGTAAGGCACTATCCTATATATAAATCCTTGGCCGTAAGACAAATTGATGAACTTATAAGACTCTTAACTGTAATATACAATTTGATTTCTATCTTCACAAAAATGCAATATGTAATACAATTTTATTAAGCTCTAACTACACTCTTATTGCTCAACCACCATGGGTGTCAGTAAAAAAAAAGCGCAGAGTTTAGAATTCCCAAAAGTCCCCTATGAGTGAGAAATGAGTCTCCTCTATTCTTTTATCAGCCACAGCTGCAAATCCCATACTCCAACCAGACACACAGTCAAAATAAGGGCTGTTTACATGTGCTATCCTAATGTTTAACCATAAGCCTAAAGCATATATACATAGGACTTAAAAAAAGACTTCTCCTCTTTGTTTTTTCTCTTAGCAATACACATATGAAGATTGAAAGAACAAGTTGAATCCAATAAGAGAGTCAAATGTGTATCATAAACAAAAGTTGCCGTCTAGCAGCACTTTCATTAAAAAGAAAACCATATAGAACCAATGTACAAATGAACAAAGCAATGAAATATAATATGGCAAACCCAAAATTTTGTATTTTCTTTTCTGCCTCTCTCTCTCTCTCTCACTCTCCGGGTTCGATTCAGAATCAGAACCACAAAAAACAATGGAAACCTTGTAACTTAATCTATGCAAAACAAGAGCTTTTCTAGGAAGTGGCTTTTTCCTTTGATAATATTTGCCAAACCTATCGCTCTCTCTTCAAGCTGTTAAAAAGGTCTAATAGTTTAACAACTCTGGATTTTCACCGAATTCTGCTACAGCCATTGGCATTCAACTCCATCCTCCTTACCAACCGCAGAGGCAAAACTCAACTAAAAAATTCTTTACAATAGTATAATCCTTTTTCATCTTCAAGATTATCTCACCATTTTTCACTCTATGTTCTTCTTATATATCCATTTGGTTATCATTGAATGATAGTAGCTCTTTGATTTGGGTGGGACAAAACTTCCCAACAAAAACTATATCAAAATTCCCACTCAACCTATCTTTTCTATAGGTCAAGCTTCCTCCTCTTGGGTACAGGACTATTATTAGAAGAGCTTACGCATGACCCAACTCCTCCATCATCAGTTTTGTAACTGAAGCATGCAGCATCCAGCACACCAATGGGACTTTGGGGCACGGATGGAGCCGGAATACTTGGAAGATCTTCTAACATCGAGAATCCTTTAATCAATTCCAAACACTTGATCACTTGGTCCTACACAATGAAAAGAGGAAATTTGAAGGTAATTAGCCTATATTGTTAGGCTACATGGATAGCAATATATTGGTTATACAACTTTCTGGACCACCATGTTTACCTTTTGTGCATACTGAACAAGAGCACACATTGCTGTATCAACGTCCATTGGATCAGCTTCCCCTGCAACAAATATTGCCACAGCTGCAGCAATTTCAGAAGGCCTGTATTCCAAGAAGTCAATCCCTGCATTGAATTTCCACCCACCAGACTATTAGCCCTCTTACAGTATTTATTTCAACATAAACACAAAAGCTAAAGAAATCTCTAAACCAATCATGAGGTTCTATATCTGATTAGTTAAATACCTCTAAATATGCTGACAATGAGCTGCGTAGCTCTCGCAATTAAAAGTCTTGAGGTAAGTTGATCATTGTTTATCTTCTTGAGGAAATAGTCAAGGAATGAGAATGGAGTGATTGCCTGCATTCTCCACTTCAATGTGTTCAACACAAGGAGCTCCATTCGCTGAACTGTTTTCCCTTCAAAGATAAATTTTGAAGGATATTTACCAGCCTGCAAATCATTGATCACGAGTCAAAATCAATACATAAACAGATAAGTACATTTGCTGCATAAATAATTTCTTCCAATTGTACCTGTAAGTCTAGGTTCAAAGGAACTTCAGTCTCTTCCATTTTGGCCGCTAGAGCCAAACATGCTACAGCCACTAGCTGCATCATCCAGGCCTTGGACTAGTGCCAAAAGAGGGAACACAGTCAGCCTGATGGTCAATTAAACCGAAAGCGTAGGAACCAATCAATGTGAGATGCCATAACAACTTGGTAATTGATTGGAATAATACTCACAGGTATCTCGTAAGCGGAAAGGAACCTGTCCAGGTAGTTTATGGAGAGATACAAACACAACGGTCCAAAATTGCATTGCGAATGAACCTGTTAAAGTTAAAGAACGAAATACGTTAGCAAAATTTTCACCATCAATGTACTATCGGAAATGATGAAAAATATCATCTTGCATCCAGGATGGAATCCACCAAAAAAGAGAGAATTCAAGAGTAGAAACAAAAGACTATAAGTACTTCAATGAACTACAGAATGGGATAGTAAATGTGACAGAAAAAAACAAGATTTAAAATTGTAACTCCAACTTCAGACAGGTAAGATTTTGTTCACAAAAGAAAAAAGGTAACGTCAAAAAATTTAATCGGCACAAACCAGCATTAGCAAAAAACAATATCCCACCTAACCAATATCAGGTTTCGTGTGAAAGTACTACTAAAAGTAGGATTCCATTACAAAGGAGACCATCCCACATCTTCAGATACCTAGGAGCTAAAAACAACATAACACTACAACATCATCATCATCATCATCACTATAATCATCTGCACAAACAAGAAGAAGTAAAGCTTAAGATCATCAAAATCATGCCTGAAACAGATAACTAGCTAATCAATTGACAATCAATAATCATCTAATGAATCTAATAACACCTTATGACTAATCAATCACCCCGTGGTCAAAAGTTAAGTAAAAGACGTGTTATATAAAAAAAAAACGATTGGAAATGAATCGATTAGAAAAGTTATCAAAATCAAGACGAACTAAAAGTATGAATCAGTGAAATAGAGTGATCTTTGACCGACCTTTGTAATCCAATCAACAGCCTCCAGTCTAGTACCCAAATCCAAGTCTCCATTTTTCATCCTCTTCAAGTAATCAGTAGCCGGCAAATGCTGGCATTCTTTATCGATCATGGAAACCACGTACTCCTCACCAGGCAACGGAAAACCAGTGAAAATCTCCTCCCCACAGTTTCGATTGCCCAATGAATGATGAAGACTTCTCCGATTCCAACTATCGTCAAACTCTTCCATTAGTCCATTATCAATAACTACATCATCGTCATCATCACCAAAAACGCTACTGTTTTCCTCTGCACAAAGCAGGCTAGAAACACAATCAAAACTTGGTGCCATTTTCATCAAGAACACTTTTTTACACCGATTAAAGCCAAAAAAACAACTGGGCTTATCTTATCCCCTCTCTCCGGACTAATCCTTCAAACTTCCCGTCAAAACAGCCAATTCTTGCGTTCCTCACACCAAAAAGCTTATACAGCTAACTGAATATAAAAGGGTTGATTGAAAACCGTTCACAAAGAATGCAACTTTGAACAAAATGAATGAAGAATTGAATAAAGAATGAACATTTGGTTAAGAACAAATCCAAGAACAACAAAGTAGTATTCCTTTCCTTCCCCTGACTCCCCTCCCTTTCTTTCACTCTTTGGGTGAGATGGAGGGAAGGTTGAGTTGTGGAGGCTTTTATGGCAGAGGAAAGAGGAGGGAGGCTGGGTCTGAATCCAAAAACAATGAAAATGAGAAATGAAAATATAGACCCAAAAAAAAAAAAAAAAAAGTGGGAAATTTGGAAGAAAAAATCTTTATATATTACTTTTGGGTTGGAGAGAGGAGGCGGGGTGGAGTTAAGGTTAAGGGGAAAGACATAACTGTGAAGGACTGGCTTGGACATTCATTGTTTGTCCTGATTCCACCCCCATGAAAGTGGTGAACGCGTGGATTTTGTTCTAATTCTTTTTTTTTTTAATTAATTAATTATGTTTATTTTTACACCTCAAAATTAATGGAAAATACGAGAGTCTGTAAATTGGAAACTATATAATGTTTGAGGTCAAGAGTTGCGTAGGAATAAGGAAATTATCCCGTTGGCGGCTTTTCTTTAATTATTATCATCATCATCGATACTTTTTTCTAAGAAAAAATAATCATGTTTTGTAAAATTAACGCTTGTTGTTGTTATAACCAATAATAATAAACCAATGTTATTTGCATGATTAAACAAATCAGTTCCGGAGTTATATTCTGGGATGATATGTTTATCTGAGTTGATTATTCTTTCTATCTCGTGATGATAATTTAATTTTGAGAATCATTTTGATTAGAGCACATGCTTATTACTATAATTATTATTTTCCATTTTTGAAAAATAAGGAAGCTTTGAGAAGGAAAAAAAAAAGGCATTAGGTACAATTTTAAATTATCTTGAATTCATAAGATTATGTGCAGTAAATACTCTTTTTTTTTTTGCGGCATATTTTTTTTACAAGAATCTCGATTGGGCATTTTTGCCATCATCCCTATTGAAACAAATAAAATTATCGGGACACACTCATCGCACATTTGTGTATAGGTTAGTAACACTTTTAACACATTCATCACACATTTGGCCTTATTGATTCCGATTAATGCCGTATTTTTTTTATTTGGACCATTTCCCCTTTTGTTTCTTTATCGAGTCCTATCAACGGTAATTTTCTCTAATTTTGTTAAATCAGCGCTGTCATATTTATAGTCAAAAAGATCGGAAAAGGTTGTAACGGTAATGTTTCTCTTTTTTTGTTAAGCCAGCAATGTCACGTGTTCGCAGTCAAGAGAAAATGTCACAACGGTAATTTTTTTTATATTTGTGTTAAGACAACTCTTCGTGTTTGGAGTCAATAGAACATGAAGTACGTAACGTTTCTACTATTACTAATATCAGATTTTCACCATTTAAAACTGGCGAAAAAAGACACGAACAACCTTATGTTACAGCTCGATCTTCAAATTAAAATGTACAATTGTAAACCTTGAGTATGATGAGATTAAAGAGGGCCATGAATTTTGATGCAAAATTACGGTAATTCACTAATGTTTTTTTGACCAAAAAAGGGTGACAAACGGAAGAGGTAAATACGCAAATAAGAGAGAGTATTCATGCTAAATATTTGACTTTCGTTAAATACAGTCTTAATCAAATGTTAAAAAACCTCATAGGATTCCCAAAAGGGTAAGAAAATGAAGAAAAAGACGTGTTGTTTTATTATGTTAATAATTAAATAAAATTAGGTGATGGCTAGGACTGACTTGAGATGGTATTAAAGTCCGAAGGATAATATTGTCAAAACGGTAAAAATTTTTGAAGGATTGCGACCAATCGGCAATCACTTTGTCTTTTAATGGCCCTGGGGTACTGACACGTGGGCTCTCATGATATTTGTGGAACTGTACTCCCGGTTTTAATCGGCTGCTTCGCTCTGGAAATGCCGTTATTATTATTTTTATTAGGTTAGGACCTCAATATTGTACTATTAACTTTTTGTATGTGTAGATCCAAAAAGAAAATAACAGAAGAATATTTTATATGTAAGTGATAATTATACCGTTACACATTCAGAATTTCATCTGGTCTAAGATTGTTCATATAATTGTAACAATATTTTATGCAATTTGTATTAGTAAACACCATAAACCAAAGTAGAGATGTACGTATATCCATATAGTGTCGCGATGACTAAAAATGATTCAATTTATTTGATCATAATTTTCATCTTTGTAAAATAATTAATGTAGATTTTAAATTATTGACTGAATCATTTAGTTAGCGATATTATAGAATTTCTCATTTAGTAGTATTATAAAAAGTGCATAGATTGATTTTTTTTTTTTTTCATTTAGGCAGAGTAATGTGTAATTGATGGTTTGTTTTCTTTCTATTTGTAAGGTGTATAAAGTAACAAATGATTCCAATTGCTTAGTGGGTTATGTCACAATTCCAGTAAAAGATGGCTCATTCATTTCATCACAATGGTACAAATTTTTTGATAGAAATTTAGGTCCATCTACTTTTCTTCTCAATGAAAAGTCTTTTAAAACTCAAATTTTCTTCGACCGACATTGCATTTTCTTGTCTGGTAGGAGATGATAATGAATCAAAGATCGAAAATTCAACTCCATTGTAGGAACATTAATGTTACCCTCCCTCCTTTCAATATTCGATCTTATCTTTTTGGTACAACAATGATGAAATAGGCATAGTGTAAATCGTGAGATTAACACATGCCGATCGATGATGAATAACATGAACTACATTGTGATTTAACCATGACTTAAAACCACAATGTGGCTCAAATAAATGCTAAAAACTCACTTGGACCTATTATCAATGACGAAACCAAGTAATGTGCCACAAAATTTGTTTGTTCGTGTACATATTTGGTCTCCATTGAGCAATCCCAACCAAGCAAATTGGACCGTGGATTATTTTTTAGGTACAATGTGGGAGGTTAAAGTCTAAAATATTACATTTACACACTCTGAAAATGAGTTGTGTCAACTACATTGTGCTCTAACCACGAGTAACACTTGACATGGATCAAACAAAAGTCAATACTCCCTTCTAAGCCTACTTCCGGCAACGAAACTGAATAGTCCGTCACAAAATTTCGTTCCCGATCTAGCAAAATGCATTATTGATATTTTAAATGCACCGTATTGGACTTGCAAGAGATTGCATCATGATCATGGTGGAATTGAATTATTTAGTTGGGGAGAGGATGAATGGTCAATGGGATTACACGACTAAAAATATATATATATGTCTATTTACATGTGATTTGTCCAATTGATATTGATATCGATTTTTTCCTTGTAGCACGCCATGAATCGAAATATCAGTTTGGCTTTTGTGTTGATTTTGTAGAGAGATGGCGCCTTATTTTTATAATTTCGCGCCATTCTCTTAGATTATGACATTGCGCGAAAAATTTGGTGCCAAAATGGATCGGATCTAGAAAGAGTACCAATAATACACAACTGTTGGTTTTCCATTTGATAATTGGTATGTGAATGGCACTCCCTCGTCTTATGCATATCATCCAAACTTTATTAAATTTGATTAAAAAAAAAAAAAGAAAAGAAAAAACAGTTCATCAGATCTACATTTGTAAACATCAAATCAAGCATCCTATCCACGGTATTGCGCAATAGCTTTTAAAATCTGTGGTTTTTTCAACAAGATCAAAATTTTGTCTACCCTCTTCAATTCATTCAACACACTTACTAGCAATCAACATATGAATATGAATTCCCTACCTGATGGTCATTGGCCGATCAGTTCTTGGGAAATTACGATGAGTAAAATACAATGTGATCACTTTTACCTAAACATAATACGATTAAAAATGAAAAATTGATAGTAACGCGTGATTATAAATGGTAATATCCAGTTGTTTTTGATGATATGTCACTAACGGTTGAAACTTGAATGTTGTGATACCAAGTTTGGTGAGCTAATACATCTTTGATCAAACCATCATCTATGACTATAATAAACAAGCTATTTACAACTCTGCTTTCTCTCTTCTCTTCTCTCTCTTTTTTTTTTTTTTTTTTTTGCCCCTGAAAGTTTTCATGTCTTCTTCATACTATACGATCACTCACATGTACACACATAAATGTCCTTTTAGAATATGATTTCGGATGGCCCAAAATTTTGGTTCAACTTCATGATGACAAATAAGGAAATCTACAGATCAGTGTCATCTGCTCTGCATTGGATGAAATTAAAAAAGGGGTTACTACTGAGCAAAGGCCATATATCACAAAAAGAAATGCTCCCCTTTTGCTTTTCTTCTTTCTTTTTTTAACTTTTGGGAGCGTCTTCCTGCTTTGGCTTTGGGGTCATCTCTAATAATCTACAAACAGAATGTTGATCTCAAAAAGCGCTGCAATGTTTTCCACATTAATCAGCAAGATGGCTTCATACTTGATTAGGACAGTTTTGATTCCAACAACGGTGTGAACTTACTAGATTTTGTGGGTTTTAATTTGTCACTAATCAACCCTAACCTAATTAATCATGATGCATATTAACTTAAAATTCACCTAATTACCTTTACTTAGGGTACTACTTCTGTATCCCAAATTTTTCATTTCCAAAAGAAAAGGAACATCATCCATCTTTCCGGTCATTACGTTTCTTATCTTCTTTCAAAATTTATTGTAATGTTAATAACATCTGGTTACGATTGAAATCGCTCAATTTACGAGTTATAGTATCAACTAAAGGGATTGTATAATTAGAAAAGGAAACAAATGAAGTGTGTGTAAATTAACTAGTTTCATCCTTGAGAAAAGTTATTCTAATCGGTTTTCTTAACCTCCCATTCACAAAAACAGATAAACGCTATTTTTTACTCCCCACAAAATACCCCTCAATAGTCAAACTATTCGATTTTCACTATTCATGCACCTTCATGAGGATATCCTAAAGATATAAAAAAAAAGATAATTTATTGCTCTGAAATCTGGATGCTTATAGTTAGTTATTCAGACATCAACTGTACGTACAGCACCTTAGACTAAGATTAATTTCTTTTCCTGTTTTTTTTTTTTTTATAATCTTTTATAGTTTATAGAAGAGATCTAAATCGCCCCAAGTATCCGTTGCCACTTGATCAATTATTCACTTTCTTAAAAGAAATTAACAGGAAATAGAAAAGAAAAATATTGGGATGATTGTGGTGTTGTTACCTCAAGCTAGCTAGCTAATTGATGAGA